ATTAAAAGTCTCTTCATGTGTTTTTTAATCTTCTGATTGATGAGGATGCTGTTTTTTCCTCATCTCTAGACACCTTCCTGCTGCAGCTCCTCCATTCCAACAGTGACAGTTAAAAACCCAACCCTGTATCCATGACAACCGTAACCCGTTCTATCAGTGTGATGTTAGCTACTCAGCAGCCCTGGACAGATGGAGAATTCACAGCGACCATCTGAGCCCATCAACTATGTGAATCAAGATGAATTCTGGTAAATTGTTTGATGAATTTTGAAGATTATTTTTATTTGAGTTTATTTCTGTCATGTTTTATAAAAACCTTCTATTTCAAACCAGGTTAGTTTTAGTTGAAGAAAAAAGAAACAGGCTGAACTTTTTGTCCTTTCAAACCTTTCCTCAGATTTTCGAGTCCTAAGTTTTAAATGTTTGATGATTGCTTGTATTTTTTGTATTTCTTTAGGAAACACTGCGTTAAAAAAGAATGGATATGTCATGATTCCTGGCCCAAGAAGTGGGGCTTCATGACTGAATCCTACAAGGAGGTAGGTTATATCTCCATATCTCATCTCCATATATGTTCTTTCTTCATCTTTGGATAAATGTGGCCGCAGAGGCTCGTATGAACTAGTTCTGCTCTTTGTTTCAGTATCAGATGAAAAGTATGAAGCTGAAGGAGGCACTCAACACGGAGCTCTCCCCTGATCAGACCGCTCGACCTCTGACCCCTCCACCCGTTCATGTATGATTCTTCCACCCGTCTACATCTCTATCTGCTCATCTACCTGTTCTTCATCTATTTTGCATTCCTCCAGGTCGGACCTTCCTCTGCTGTCCCTGCGACCACTCAGGGTTTTATTGGATGGCGTTCACACATTCCCATAGACAAGTACAACACCAAGCATTATCGACGGAAGGGGTTTGGCGGGCCGCTAGATGGCTGTAATGAGTGGACCTCATCACAGTAGTCAGATCTAATCACTAAGTCTGTATTACTGTTGAAACATTGATCAGAACACAGGATTCGAAGCAGAGTTTGTTTGTGCAACTTTTCAAGCAAATCATTAAAACTTTCCAACATCATTTTAGTCTCTGATCAAGTATTGTCGATTTTTTTTTACCTTTAATCTCTATATTCTTTATTAGACATACAGCATCCATCAACCAGTTTCTCCCTTGTTTATTAAAACACAATTTAAAACATTTAAGTGGTTATTTCACTGTTAATTTGTGATTAATTGACTTTTAATTATATTTATTTTTGGCAGATGCTGTTTGTAGCAGAACTGTTTACTAAATACAGGATGAGGATTGTGCAGCACAATTTAAAATTTGATTTAAAAAAAAACGTACTTTTGAAATTAGACTTTAGACTTTGACTTAGACTATTTTTATTGTCATTTTTTATACACATAGCGTATACAAAGCTGAATTTTGTTTAGTGCAGCTTTCCAACCAGTAAATGAACATTTCCATTCCATAAAGGGCAGCAGTGATCAAATGTAAATAGTGTGGGTTACTGTCACTAGATATTGTCTATTGTATTATGATACAGCTTGCCATACTAAGGCTAATATTCCTAAATAGATGAAAAACATTGCCTAATTTGAATTGCCTTTTAAATAAAAACAAAT